GAACAGGATATTTCTAGAAACGTGGCGTGACACTAGTCACGTGACCTCGCTGACGCAACATTATCATTTTCGGATCTTTTCCCCCATTTACAAAATACTTATACCAGAGAGGGGGAGTTGCATATATATTATTGACCGTCTTGACTTGCATTTGATAAATTCTTAAAGTTATCTACTAATTGATATTGAACTGATAAAATACTGAAAATAATTACTAAAGTAACCTTAAAGAAGGGTGTCTTATTAATTATGCATCTATCCCAGGCATATATTTGTTGATATATTGTTGTTTCAGTTTGAATTTATGATTACGATGCTGACTTTTGTTGTTTTTATTGGTAATAATAATAATAATAATACATAAGGTGAAATAAATTTTTCATGAAATTATTATTTTTTAACCAAGAACCATACATAATCTTCATACTATGTATCATCAATCACATTCATTACACTAGTTATATCTATTTTTAGAAGGTGGAGAGCAGACAATGATGCTGCTGTCTGGGAGAAAGTGGCCACATACTGTCAGTAATATGTTGCACAACTAAGAAAACTGCATACTTTTTGCTTAGCCACAGGTTGGAACCCTGGTATGTTAGACCGGTCTGTAAAATCCATTTCTACTTACAATATGACTGAGAATTTTTCTTCTGTGTGCACAAATGCACATTCTTCCGGTTCAGCTTCAAGCCTGCTTTCTATATCCATTGGAATTCCATTCTCAGATTCTCTATCAAACACCAAGATATTATAGACAGAGACAATGTATTATCCCATGGCAGGTCCTTCAGTGTAAGCTTCACTAACCTCCTGAAAGTTGTACTTGTGTTACACATACCCAATAGCATGACACAAAATCCAAACAAGCAATTTTTCATGCTAAAAGTAGTCTTATGTCTGCTCTTTATCAAGTTCAACTTGTCAGTGTTCAGATTGTAAATCGTAAATGTGGAACCAATGGAAACTTTCCAATATATCCAAACATTCCTCTGTACATAGTCAGGGGAAGGCATCAAAACAAATTACCAGTTTTGCCCATCTAAAATAAGCACATTATACTGGAATATCTTTCTTTCCGACAATTACTAAGGGAGGTAACCAAGCACTCTCTGAAGGGAGTTTGATCTTTAACATTCACTGTATCTTGGCATTAGCTATATCCCTAGTTCTCCAGAAAAGCTGGCACAAAGGCTGCTTCACCATACATGTGTAGCCTGTAGATCGTAAGTTACAGTTGTTTCACTCAATCGGCCATCTGCTCCCATAAATACACTGACATACTCAGCCAACACATTGCTCAGTTGCACTTGCTAGTGTGGCCCAGATTGCTTGCACCTAGAAAAGTCCTTCCCAAAAGAAATGTTGCTACACTTTGGTTTATATTTAATAATTTTTGGACTTTTTTTACTCTGTTCTCTCTGCCCCCTCCCAGTGGCACAGCGGTAAGTCTGCGGACTTACAACGCTAGAATCCGGGTTTCGATACCCGTGGTGGGAAGAGCACAGATAGCCTATTGTGTAGCTTTGTGCTTAATTACAAACAAATAAACTGTTCTCACTTTCTCGTTTTCTTTTTACATATTTTTTTGTTGTTGTCGGGACGACGCTGGTTGAGATGTTTAGTCTGTTTGGCTGTAAGTAGTTATTTTGGTGGTGTTTCGAAATTTATGTGTTGATGACATTTTATAGATTTTTCATGGCCGTGTGCATTTTTCGTTGTTCGTTTGTTTATATAAAATTTAATGATATTTAATAAGACACGTTGGTTTTAATTTCACCGAAATCGAAAAATTCCATCTTAAAGAAGCAGTTCGTATGTAAGCCCAATATCACATGAAAATCCTTGTCGGTTCTGACTCACATATTTGTGATGGTTTGCCTTTTTAAGACTTAAAAAAGTATATTTATTACATATTTCATTATCAAAAAACTGTGTTTTCGTCGATATTCTGTTGCATACATAAAAGTATAACACAGACAATTGATATGTCGCATAAACGCGGATTCTTATTCATTTGACCTTTTTTGACACAAAATATCGAGTTTCTATGACAATTTATACGAGTTGGATCAATCTCGTTGCCTACCACACCCAGCACGTGTTTTAACGGGATTATTTTAGTCAAGGAAAACTATATTGATAAACTGTCAAGTAGACACCATGTAACGCCCTTAGAAACGGTAAATGTATTATCAGTGGAAATCGTCCCGCAAGAGCGATCATAACTTGGCCCAATTTCAGTAAAAGGGGTCGTTTCATAAAAACAAAAAATTAGAAAATGTTTAACCAGGTTGCTTTTTGTTAACCAGGTCATTTATTCCGACCCATTGACTACCATATTTGTTTTTTATTTTAGTAAGTAAATTACCATGAATTACGACATACCCAGTGAAATATAGTTTAGTTTCACTATGAATTATTTAGCTTGAGAAATGTCTAAATTAATTAACCTACATTTTCACTGTTATTTAACAACTGGGTGAACATATTTGAAGTAATTTTTTGAAACCTAATCACAAAAATTAGTTTATAAAATTGTATGTGAACATGTTTATAGCAAACTTATCTTTCGCTTAAGCGCAAAGCTAGACACTGTGCTACCTGCGCTGTGTGCAGCACAGGGATCGAATACCAAATTTTTAGCGTTATAATTCGTCAAGGATATTTATAGCAAATATTTTGATTTGCTTATTCTTTATGCCAGTACTTTAGATATCCGATAAATGATAATTTTTTAAACAGATTAAATAGAATCTTGTCTAGAATCAGTAAACT